AGTGGACATCCTTGTCTGACACCACTTTTTGTAGGGAAGCTTTTGGAGAGCTCACCATACACCCTCACCCGCCCAGAAGTATGTGAATATAGAGATCGGATTATGTTTACAAACTTCTGGGGCATACCCTGTTGAGCAAGTGTAGTTAACAGAACTGATCGATCAACAGAATCGAACGCACCCTTAAAGTCAAGGAATACCAGGATTGTGGGTCGTCTGTACATGTGGCGTTGCTCTAACACATGACCGAGTGTGAAGATGTGGTCAACGCAGCCTCTACCCGGTCGAAATCCCGCTTGATTCTCACGAGTCAAGACTTCGCGTGCCGCCATGAGACGGCGAAGAATCAATGACGCCAGAAGCCTTGTCACAACAGGCGTCAAGCTAACGCCTCTGTGGTTGCTACATTCACTGCGAGTACCCTTTTTGAAAAGGGGTACCACTATCGATTCACCCCAGTTGTCTGGGACGGTCTCCTTCTCCCAGATAAACCCAAATAGGTTAGACAGGCACTGGCTGAGGAATCAGATCATTTATGTATGAAGTGAAAGCCAGAAATCTCAGCAACGACCATTGGAAACCGTGCCTGTCAAGTGCTCGGTTTGTTGTAATGCTTCTCTGTTACGGATGGAGGTTGAGCATGAGGACAAGACGGAATGACAGAGTAAACAGCGCAATACTTACCTAGGAGAAGACGTATATAAGCTGAAATTAAAGGCAGAGGATTGTTAACACGAAGCGATGTGAACCCAAAAAATAGTCATGGCATTCACTCGAATAGTTGGATTGTGTGCAGAAAAGGGTACCTCGAAAACAAGGAATGAATGAAGATTGATCATGAAAATATATCAAGAGGTAATGAGAAGTATGATGAGCTCTCTCGATTTCTCAGAATGTAGGGTCATGTACATTTCTGGAGCCTGGCTACATCAAAGGTGCCAGGGTCACGTAGTTGGAGATGCAGGTGCGCCGACCGGGCACGGAGGTGAGACCGAGGTATGACCGGCACTAGTTTTAACGCTACTGGACGGAGGCGCGTGCGAGTCAGATAGGGAGTGCATGAACATCATGGCATTCAATGGATGATGTACGGTTGGATTTGTTGGTAAATGTGCGGTCACCACAATGAGCGAGATGGCCGGTGGGTACAGTGTCGCCTTTTCTGCCTGGGAAACGAACATGAGCGTAATCTGGGTTGCAAGATGTTCGACTTCCTCAGAGGCACGGTCTTTTTAGCAAAACACGTCCTGGAGTACGTAGCCAGGCTGGTATAAATAAATCACAGGACGAGCGTCGCTCAAACCGAAACATAAGTTCATGTAGAGTGACATTCGTGGAGGCACAGAGATGGGACCGTATGAAGCAGCAAGGGTCCGAGAGAGCTGACTTCCAGTGACGGATATGAAGGCCTTTCGTCTTAAGTCTAGGTTGAATTGCGCTCCATAGCGTCCTGTTGAGACGTTAGATGTGCCCTTTCCCTGGAGACTATAAGCAATTGTTCGGATGGCATAAACTCCTGTGTCATGTAGGAAAGCGGATGGTTCCACATTTATGAATGAGGAGCCATGGTCCGAATTCACCTACGCAGGCACTAAACAAGAAAATAATTCGCACACGTTTAATAAAGGCGGATGCACATGTATCTGAACAGGAAAAGGCGAACGGGGAAGCTCGTTAACGAGAGTAAGGAGATAGCGGTTACGAGTAACAGAAAACAAAGATCCTTGAAAGTTGACGCTAACTCGTTCGAATAGTTGACTCGCTTTGATGGGTGTATAACTGGGTGGTTCGTGAAAGTGCGATCTGACGGCGCGAAACCGTGCAGGTTGAAGTGGTGCCTTCTACATCTTGGGTGGAAAATGGCCAGTTTATGGGAAAAAACAAAGTGATGCACGCGAGTAATTCCGTGAAGGCACAAGGAACTATGAAATCGTTTAGTTCACCACTGCCGATCACGCTCCGGTTGATGGAAAGTTTCAGAATCTGGTTTTCAGAATCTGTTTTGATAACTCCTCTAGAGACTTCATAGTTGAGATGACACATCTGTTTGGCTGCTATAATGCCTTTCTAGCAGTTAGGAGCAATTCTATAATTCTTTATTACTTCATACAAAAATATGAGGCTTCGGTCATGCTCTCTTGGGAAGTTCAAAAACCAGCTGCGAAGATGGGACTGTTAAAAAAATATGTCTTCCTCGGCATTTCGATTAATCTTATAGCCCTTCAGCTTAGCCAAGAAGGCGCAGTGATTTGCTGAGTCCTCATTGAAATCCAGACGACACACACGAGAAGAATCCACCCGTTCAGCGCATTCCGTCACCACCCTATCCACCCTATCTTATCCTCCACTACTTAACCATCCATCCCGTATTATCATAATTTCTGGATTACCGAAAACATGGAATGAAATGTGAGACAGCTGAGTTTGTCTTTGGCATTTTGAGATGCATTACCACACTTAGAACTTGTGTGCGTGTTTCACAGATAAAGCATGTAGCAATTTTAAAGGAGCATAAGGTCTCGGTGGGTATGCCTGTTCGCTAATTTGAGGGAGAGTACGGACGTCAAAAGCTCCCATGTAGAGGGAATCTCGTGGACTTAGCAACGCATTAATTTGCTTGTTGTTAATGGGCAGTGGGGTGCATAATGTCCTTCGGTCAGCTAACCGACGGTCAAATGACAGAGGCGTTTGCTTGTGTGGTGGGAAGGGCTTTAAGATTGGCATCGGTAAACACAGAACTGTGCGGGTAAATGGTACTTCCCGGTTGCCCAGGCCGAGGGAGGGGATTTAGCTGAGATGCCTTGAGGCTTGACTCGGTAGTTTGACTCACAAGGCAGCTCGAAGACCCCGCTCCTAGCCTCTGATTCGAAGGTTTGACCTACGATGGAGCAGACAGCAGTTTCCTCTGGGGATCCTACCCGAAGCGGACGACTCAATGGTGCGACTAGCTCGACTGCAGGAGGCTGGTCTTCCTCGAGGACGCAGAGAGTAAGGTATCGTTGTCTCATTCCCTATGCGCCTGCGCACAGGTATCTTTTGAGCGACACCAAACTTTTCAACTTACACGTGGTTCAACCGCACTGAATAATGCGCCGGCGGTCACAGTCAACCGTTGGTCGATCGAGATTTTCAGGGCGGACCTTTTCTAAACTGTCCTTCATCGAAGACAGCATAGCTGCTTCCATGAGTATGGATATACTGGTGACCTGGAGGGAGCGCCTTACTGCCTTGACACTCCTATCGCAAAAGGCAATACAACTTTGTCCCCAGACCACCTCGTAGCATGGCTACTAGTGAAAGGGGAAAACTCTTCACTGCGAAGTCAATCATTGACAAACACGAACTAAGTAGTCACAAGTCATTAGACAGTGGGATATTCCAAAGATAGCTGCCATCACGCCATCAGACCTTTACGAATTCTTAAGTATGCCGCGCGGTCTAAGAAATGCAAATATTTCGGTGCTCAATCAACGCCACCGTCTAGGCTTGGGCAACCTGGCAGTATCCCAGCCCTCATGCTTCCTTCGGGTGGCATGGCAGCTAGGTACCGGAAGAGTGCTACAGCTGAACGCTTAATCAACGTCACCAGATGGCTAGATCACAACCTATGACTGACGGCTTGCTGGTGGCCAGCGCATCAGAAGAGGAACACGAAGCCCAATTTAGATCTGTTAGGTTTGGCTCAACAACAAGTGACTATCAACCGGGACAAATGCAGACTCGAACGGAACATCTTCGAGTCTCTCGGATACCGGCCTCCCTCTGTCAGAGAAAAAATTACCAGCTGTTGCTGACTCTGCTTTTCCCATGAACTTAGAAATGTCTTCAGGTTGGGTGGCTCTAGCATGATCTGTCATGTGTAAATAACAAAATAAGTTGAATAAGGCTTCGCCAACCGCAGCAACATCTGAACATTTCCGTAAACAAGGATCCTGGTGCATGATAGTCCCAATTCCTCTCGGACCTCACCCTTATCCCTCATAGGACTCCTACGAACAACAATACAGCATTTTTCTTTTGCCAATGGCTCTCACCGTCAGGTCTTGTCAAAAGCTGCCTCATCTCAAGCAGCATTCTAGGGCAAGTTGTAGAGTATACACCTGTATTTTATCCCTCTAAAGTAATCGTCTCTATAGCTATTTTTGTTTTGGCAAACACCGCGATAGCTGTTCGATACATTTTTGGAGCGGTTGTGTAATATACAGTATCGACCACTCTAGTTTATTTATATGTACGGCAGTGAAGCATCAGTGGCAACACTGACGTTGCTGTCTTTGATGATGATGATTCTTGAACATATCAACCAAATTGCCTACTCAGGACGCACGGACACAACCCTTGTTGAGCGTGCCCAACAAGCTGTTATGAAAATGGTTGCCCGCATTAAATCCGTGGACTATGAAACGCGTCTCGCGATACTTGACCACTCTCTTCTGAATTATCGCCACCTCCGAAAAGACCTAGCACTTACTCATGGTCTTTCTGAACAAGGTTTCGCCAACAGGTTTTTGAACGCTGTCAAGGAGTAACTACGAACAGCCTCTAACCGACTTGGTCTCCACCGTGGAGGACATTCGTCAACTCTTGCACAAGATCAACCCATTCTGCGCGTTGGGGCCCAACGAGGTCCATCTGAGGATCCTGAAGGAAACGTCGTCCACACTGGCAAATCATTTGCACCTGGTGTTTCGTCAATCGCTTGACGAAGGCTTCCTTCCCTCTGCTTGGAAGGAATCGATTGTCACGCCAATCTACAAAACTGGTGACCGACTATCGCCTGGCAGCTACAGGCCTATAAGCCTCATTAGCGTGCCGTGCAAGGTGATGGAACGCATTCTGAAGCGAGCTATCCTAGATCAACTTACTCCCAGAAACCTGATATCTACAGCTCAACAGCAGCTGCGTGGAATGACTTTCCCCCGACGGTTGTCCACGCTCCTTCTAGAACGCAGTTTAAAGCACTGTTAGACACTTACTTATGCGAATCCTCGCGCTGGCAAGCATACTACCCCGCGCTGAGAACATAAAGAGCAGTGGTACACTCTTTTTTCACTTGTGCCTTTCAGGTGACCGCCAGCCACTGACCGACAAGAACAAAACCGACCCGGGAAACTTGGGCAAAAGCCTCGATCCTGTGTATCAATCCGTGAATCGTGAAGTTGATCCAACAAGCACACTGTGGGGACGTCGTAAGATTTTTAAGCTCAGAGCGCACACTTTTATTGGGCAAATTTTCTTCCCATTTCGGGCAGTTGATGCGTGGGACAAATTTCCTGCGACAGTCACCCACGTCCCACTTAGCACGCAGTTCAAAGCACTATTAGACGCTCTAATGCGAGTTCCCGCGCTGACAAGCTTACTGCTCGGCGCTGAGAACTTAAAAAGTAGCGCTTCATCCTTTATTCGCTTGTGTCTTTCAGGTGAAAGCCAGCCGCTGGACGACAAATCCGACCAGGAAACCTGGGCAAAAGCCCCGATCCTGCGTATCAACCCATGAATCCGTGAAAACCCTCGCATATGTGGAACATGATTCACGGATTGATATACAGGATCGAGGCTTTTGCCCAAGTTTCCCGGGTCGGTTTTGTTCTTGTCGGTCAGTGGCTGTCGTTCACCTGAAAGGCACAAG